GGAAGTCAGAGGAGGACTTTGTGGAATTTGTTCTTCTCTGTCCATGATGATGTGTATTCTAGGTGAGACTTGGGTCATCAAGCTTTCATGCAAAGTACCTTTACCCACTGAGCCATCTTGCCAGCCCCACCTGGCTGTTCTGTTGGTGCTGGCAGTCCTAAATCAGATCCTTCTGCTTGCACAGCAAGCATCTTACCAGCTGAGCCATCTCCCCAGCTCTCTGCAGTTTAAAATTTATTTATTTTTATTTTATGTGTGAGTGTTAACGCCTGCATGTATAAGTGCACCCCTGTTGTGCAGTGCCCAGGTATGGGATCCCCTGGAACTGGAGTTACGGATGTTTGTTAGCCATCATGTGGGTGCTGGGATTTGAACCTGGGTCTCCTGTAAGAACAGCCAGTGCTCTTAATTGCAGAGCCATCCCTCTAGCCCCTTTCTGTGTTTTTAAATAGAAAGTTTTAATGAAATTATTGCTATATGAATCTTTGCATTTCTGTTTTTGATTTCTGAGTTGTGTATAGTTAGGAACCTCTTCCTGAAGAATGCACAGAAGAGAACGTGTATAGTACTTGGTTGTGTAACAACATCTTTCTAAAGGATATACAGGAAACTGATGGCACTTTGTGCTTAGGAGAGGGAAGCTGAGATAGATGGATGGGAGGAGGTCTTCTATTCTTGTACTTTTCAAATTTGGAAATATGCAAAGCTTTTATAAGTAAAGGTGGAGAAAATACTCAAAATCATGGAAAACCAACAAATGAGTTCAGTAAGGATTAGTATAAGAAAGGTTGGATTATTTTCTTTGTTTTTCTTAATTTTAAGAATGAAAGAGAAGAAAAAGACTCAGTCTGTTTAGACCTGAGGCTTCTGGTCTCATTCTATGAAGTTTATTTTATACATACAAGTCTGTGACCTTTTTCGAGTGTGCTAACCCTTTATTGTATAATTACTTCGAAGAAACATGCTGTTGAAACTGTTGCACAACTCCAATTAAAGGGTAGATTTTCTTCCTTCCTCTTGCTTTTTGAAGTGCTGAGGATCAAACCCAAGTCTTTGTGCATGCTAGGCAAGCATTGTGTGCTGACTGTGCCCCAGCCTGAAGGGAGAGTTTCTTTATAATATGAATTTAAACCAATCATAGCGGAAAGACTTGAAGGAATGGGGTCTTTCCCAGTGCTTAGTGAAGGAACAGAAACTTTTTGCTTTCTAGCTGAGCATGAAGCCTGACTTTTCGAACAGTGAGAACAGAACCAGGCCAGATTTCCAATAGGGGTTTAAAAGTGGAGTAAGGAAACTTAATTGATGTATATCCTTGGGAAACTATTTACCTTTACATTGGTTTCTTTTTCTCCTTAAGGAATTTTTTTTATTTGTGTGTGTACATCCTGTTTCAAAACCAGAAACAACAACAACAAAATCAAAACAAAAATAATACCCAACAAAACAAAACCAGAAAGAAAAAAATGATTCTGCAACATGGTAGAGCATCATCCTTTTTATGTTGAGTTTGAGGACAGTGCAGGATTAAAAAGGAGAGAATCAAGCTGGGTGTGTTGGCACATGGCTTTAATCCCAACACTCGAGAGGTAGAGGCAGAAGCAGAGACACAGCAGAGCTCTGTGAGTTCAAGGCCAGCCTGGGGTCTACAGAGTGAGTTCTAGGCCAATTAGTGCTACATTGTGAGATCCTATCTCAAAAAAATAAAACAAAACAAAAAAAAAACCCCAAAACATAAAAAAGAATCATTGTATTTGGACTAGAAGAATTACCTTACACAGAAATTTAAATTTACTTTATTTTCAGACACATCTATCACCAGGTATGATGAGACATGTCTAAGAGCTCAGGATCCAGGAGGCTGAGGTAGGAGGATTATTGTGAGTTTGAGGCTAGCCTAGGGTACATAGCAAATTCCAGGCTAGCCTGGGCTACAGGGTGAGCTCTTGTCCCCCCAAAACATGTCTGATAGAAGCCCAGAAAAGTTGGGGTTTACTGTTGATATGATGGACTCTTAATGTATCAAAGAGGTGCTGCTTTTCTTTCCAAATGTGTGTGTATTGTATGTGTGAATATGCTGTATGTATATGTGGGTTATGTGTTTGTATATGTACACGAGGAGGCCAGAGGGGGATGTCAGGAGCCCTCCTCTACCACTCTCTGCCCTATTCTTTTTTTGGTCTTTTTGAGACAGGGTCTCCCTGTAGCCACAGCTGTCCTGGAACTCACTATGTAGACCAGGCTGGCCTTGAACTCACAGAGATCCACCTGCCTCTGCTGGGATTAAAGGCGTGCACCACCATGCCTGGCTCTGCCCTATTCTTTTGAGGCAGAGTCTCTCCTTGAACCTATAGCTCACACTTTTTGGCTAGGCTGGCAGCCAGCAAAGCCCAGCACAATCCTCCTTTCTGTGCCCTTCCCAGTGATGGAGTTATAGGCACAGGTGAAACCATTCCCAGCTTGTTATGTTGTGCTGGGATCCAAATTCATGTCCTCATGCTTTCATACCAAGTGCTTTTACCCACTGAGCCATCTCTCCAGCCCTGAGGTGCTGCATCTTTAACATGTTTCCTGCATATTTTCTTAGTTTAGAGTGCAAGGAATCAGTTAATAAGGAGAGAAGAAACTGAAGTAAGGAGTGCATTATTCTGCCAGCTATAGTTAGCTGTTCAACCTTTAAATCTGTCCAGTTAAAGCAGTCTTGGGGCAGGAGAGATGGCTTAGTGGTTAAGAGCACTGGCTGCATTTGCAGAAGACCTGGGTTCGATTCCCAGGATCCACATGGTGGCTAACAACTGTTTGTAACCCCAGTTCTGGGGGATCCAACGCCCCCTTCTGACCTCCACAGGCATTGCATGACATGGGTGTACTTACATACATGCAGGCAAAACACTCTTACACAGAAAATAAAAATATGGGGCTGGAGAGATGGCTCAGTGGCTGCAGAGGACCCGGGTTCAATTCCCAGCACCCACATGGCAGCTATAAACCATCCTTAACTCCAGTTCCAGGGGAATCTGAAGCCCTCTTCTGACCTCTGTGGCATTGCATGACACAAGTGAATTCACATACATGCAGGCAATACAACTTATACACATAAAATAAAAATAATAATAAAAATAAAATTAAAAAAATACTAAAATACTTTTTTTTCTGAATTTTTCATTTTATATCTTGGGGTGGGGGAATGGAGAAACTTACAAAGAAACGAACATCCAACACCCAATACTAAAATACTTTTTAAAGAAAAGCAGTCTTGGGGCTGGAGAAATGGCTCAGTGGTTAAGAACACTGCCTGTTCTTGCAGAAGACCCGGGTTTGAATCCCAGCACCCACATGGCAGCTAATAACTGTCCGTAATTCCAGTTCCAGGGTATCTGACAGCCTCTTCTGTCCTCTGTGGGCATTACATGACACAGGTGCACTTACCTACATGCAGGCAATACACAACATACACATAAAAAATAAAAAATAATAAAATATTTTTTAAAAAAAGCAGTCTTATGAAACTGAAGGTTGGATCGGTGGTAGAATGCTTGCCTAGTGTGCTGGTTATTGTTCACTTGACACAATGCATGATCACCTGGAAAAGGGAACCTCAACTGAAGAACTGCTTAGATCAGATTGGAACTGTGGGACTGTCTGTGGGGCATTGTCTTGATCGATGATTAATGTGGAGGGTCCAGCTCAGGGTAGGCAGCACCCTTCCTAGGCAGTTGAGCCTGGGTTGTGTAAGAAAGCTAGCTGAGCATGAGCCAGGGATCAAGCCTGTAAGCATCCTTCCTCTACTTTCTGCTCCACGTTTCTTCAATTCCTGCTCTGACTTCCCTCAGCGATGGACCGTGACCTGGAACATCAGCCCAATAAACCCTTTCCTTGGTAGATTGCTTTTAGGCATGTTTATCACAGCAGCAGAAGGAAACTAGACACCTAGCATGCATAAGCTGCTGCAGGGGTTTGGTCCTCAGCACCTTACAACAAAACAAAGCAAAAACCCAGTTTGGTTACCTTTCCCCCATTATGTGTTTTATACTTGCCAGACATGATTTTGAAAACTGATTTTATAACAAAACACCTGTCTCAAAAGGTGCTGCTGCCACCAGAGAATGCCTTGTCAACAGCCAATCAGATTGAGAGCCTCATCGTTTTCTCCCTTTGTCTCTTCTTTGTTGGGGAGTCAGGGGAGGAGGCAGTAGGGACATCTACTTACCCCATTGTGAAGCTGCTGAGCAGGAAGTATGATATAGTTGCAGCCTTTGACTTTGGTTAAAGTGACCATGCTGCCCTCTTGGTCAGTGGTGGCCAGTGCAACCTATCCCATTTTCAGGACTTAGTTTTCTGAAAGCCGGTTAATAAGGCAATAAGCCTTAATACCTATTGTGATTCTCAGAGTGGTGTTAGGCTTTTGGTGGGAAGCAAAAATTGAAGCTAGCTACTTTCCTGACTGGTGCGTTTACAAGCTAGAAAACTGTGAAAAATGCCAGCTACCAACTGTGTAGCTCATTGGCTCTTTCCCTTTGGGCTTCAGCATTCTGCTAATAAAAATAATGATTATGTTTTTCTGATACATTTGCCAAGTGTTCGTGCTTCATACCCCACACGTGATTACGAGAGTTTCTGCAGCAAGCATTGCTTTGTCTCTGATTGAATGTTTCATAACATTTGAGCACTCTGCTTTCTGGGCTGATTTGCTATTCTTTCTTCCTTTCCAGAATGGACTGCTGAATTATGAAGTATTCCAGACCCAGTCGTAGACCATCACTCCACCACTCTCTCCTTTATCTCCTACTAGTTATTTAAATTGGACTTTTAATATCCTACCAGCTGCTCCTCAGACACACATGGTGCATTGCTGCCATTCCCCGGATTGTATCTTTGAAACACACACTCTTAGTAACCTTCAGCGAACAAAGAGGCAACCTCCCGGTACAGCCACCGGGAGGGGGTCATCCTGACTGCCCTCTAGCCTTGGCTGGATCTGGATTTGAATCCCACCATGGAGCCTCGCATGGAGTCCTGCCTGGCCCAGGTGCTGCAGAAGGATGTGGGGAAACGACTGCAGGTTGGCCAAGAACTCATAGACTATTTCTCAGACAAGCAGAAGTCTGCTGACCTTGAGCATGACCAGACCATGTTGGATAAGCTTGTGGATGGGCTCGCTACCTCTTGGGTGAACTCCAGCAATTACAAGGTGAGCGCTGCTTCAGGAGCTTGGAGATGGTGGGGCTGCCTTGGTAGATCCAAGTTGGTCCTAAAAAGATCCTTTGGAAGCCCTGAACATGATTCCTTGGCTCCCAATAAGACACTCCTGCAAGTGGTAACTTTAGGGCACATTCCTGTGGAACAGGCAGTTTTCTTTGGTTGATTTTGTTGGAGATAAAACAAAAAGGGCCTCAAGTCCTTTGAGAGAAGACTGACTGAAGGGATAGAAGCTTTTATGTTGGGAGTTTACAAGCATTTGCAGCCTTGAAGTTAAAATTTATGTCATGTCTTGCAGTGCACAGGTTGTGTGACACCTTGGCCAGTGGTCCTTTGTGAATAACAGGTGTTTCCACTGATCTCTCAGGGATGAAAATGTGGAGCATTTTACTTTGAGGTCATTGTTTTGAAGTCTGCTGAATACCTGGCCATAAATAGTTTGTGTTGTCAGAGACTTGCTTTGCCCTATCTGATAGTCTTCAGATTTGAAGATGAAGGCTCTTCGTATGTAGTAGGTAGAGAGTGGGAGATGAGGGTGTGTGCAGGATAGTCTTCTAAGGCCCAAATGCATGTAAACATTGACCATTTGCCATTCAGATACTGAGCTTCAAGAATGCAAACTAGGGATATCTGAAGCACTCAAGAGTTGTCTTCTACTTGCCCCTCCTCCACCTGCTCTCTCTTCCACCTGGCCCTCCTCCATTTGCCCCCATCTCCATGTGTCCTCTCCTCCTCCTGCCCATCCACCTGCCCCTCCTCCACCTGCTCTCTTTTCCACCTACCCCTTGTCTACTTGCCCCTACTTCCACCTGTCCCCTCCTCCGCCTACCCTCCTCGGCCTACCCCTCCGCCACCCTCCTCCTTCACCTGCCCCTCCTCTACCTGGCCCTCCTCCTGCTCCTTCCTCCACTTGCCTGCTCCTCCACCTGCCACCTCCTCCACACCTCCCTTTCCTCTACCTCCATCTTCTCCTCCTGCCTCTCCTCTCTTTTAGTTTGCTAAGAAGGTAGCCTCTTGAGATCAAGGCTGAAATGGACATAGAGGCTAGAAGCTTACATAACTGCTATTAGGTGCTGTAGACATTGTAAAAGGGACTCCGGAAGCTGACTCTTCTATGCTATATTGACTTAGTTTTCCAAAATTGCTTTGAACTTAGGAACTGGTGCTTACAGGATTTCTTCTTTTGCTCCATTTTTCAAATACATTTAAACATCAGTCTCATCTGAGAGCAGTGGAGTTTTTTATTTGTTAAGGATGTTACTTAACACTGATATTTCCTTCACAACTGGTCATAAAATTTATCCTACTGGCCTTTGAAGCTGAGCTGAAATCCCATCTCAGTTGTTCATTCATTTAGCAGAAGATGACAAGTACTCTGGCTGCTAGTGCTGTGTGGTGGGGTATTGGAGGTGAGGGGTCAGAGTCTGGTTGTGTTTTTGAGGACTGTCAAGTTACCTTGTGTATATCCAAGTCATGGCTCCTCTACTATGTGCATAGTAAGAAGCTTTTGGTGGAGAGTAACTGAAAACAGACTCAGTGGACTTTAGTATCACAGATAAGCCAGTCTTGGTTGAGGCAGTGTCTAGGTAGGAAGCCTGCCTTCTTATGCCTTACTTGGAAGGAAAGCTTTCTCAGAAGCTACCAGACAACCTTTTGTGTATCCTCTTGCCAAGATGGCTTTGTGTTCCTCCCTCCCTGCCCCAGTGCCATTAGAAAGTGGAATGTGGGTCCAGAATTGCTTTCAACCCCATGCTTAACCTGCTGGCCTCAAGGTGCAACCTCCCATGAGGGAAGCAGTGGCTCTATGCAGGAGGGAGGGTACTTGGAGGTCATCAGGCTCTACTTGGAAGAAGAAGGTTGCAGAGGGGACTGAGATAATATGGATGTTAATTAATGACCTATTGAGTCTGTGTCACTGTGTGAGCTCTTGAACCTTGAGCCTCAGTTTCCCCATTTGTAATGTCAGGATAATCTTTTTTTTTTTTTTTTTTAAGTCTTTGTGAGTGTGCATGTTTGTGTGTGTGTAAGTTTGAGTGGACATGTGCTATGATTCATGTGTCGAGGTCAGAGGACAACATGGGGTGTCTGTCCTTGCCTTCTATCTTGTTAGAGGCAGGATCTCTTCTTGGTCAGTCCCACCTGGTCTGAGGCAGGCTCTTCTTGCTCACTGCTGCTGCATGTGCCAGGCTGGCTGACCCATGAGCTCCTGGGGATTCTCCTGTCTCTGCTTCCCATCTTCCTATAGGGGATCTGGGATTACAGATGTACTGTACTTGGATGTACTGGGATTACAGATGTACTTCCTATAGGGGATCTGGGATTACAGATGTACTCTTTTTGAGACAGGGTCTCCTGACCAGGCTGACCTTGATCTCACAGAGATGTGCCTATATCTGCCTCCGGAGTGCTGGGATTAAAGGCATGCGTCACCACACCCTGCTGCAGATAATTAAATTTTTAGAGCATTAAATGAAAGTTGGTATAAATTGTTTTTTGCATACCTCTAAGAAGTTAGTGGTGGTAGTTATCAAAATGTACCTCTTGTCTCCAAGAAGCTCATAGCCACTCAGGTGGTAGGGTGCTGGTCAGAAGCAAATGGCCGCATAGTTCAGGTATTATGTGTGCACTCAGAATTCTGTGCAAGACTGAAGTAACCAGTAATACTGCTTCAGGAATCCAAGACTTTAAGACATTTGCAGAGTCACAAGGAGGGAAGGATTAAGACTTAATACTTCAGGAAGTAATTCTTTGCTCCTTCTTTCTCCCCCTTCTCCTTTCTCCTCCCCCCATTCTCTCCCTCTTCTCCTCCCTCCTTTCTCTCCCCTCTTTCTCCTCCTTCCCCACCCCCCACAAGGTTTCCAGTGTAGCCCAGGCTGGTCTTGAACTCATGTTCCTCCTGTCTTTAGCTCCCCAGTATTGGGATTACAGCAGACATGTGCCACCATGCCAAGCCAGGGAGTTAAGTAGTAAGCAAAAGCAGCTTGGTGTGAAGCCAAACGAGGAAGATGTGTTTGCTACCAACTTGCTTTTGACCAGCCTGTTTGTTCAGTGCAGATGTTAGTGAGATATCCCTTGGGAACGCTCCAGTTCTAAGTCTTCTGACTTAATACAAATGGTCTTACAGTCCAGGGCTCTACTATGATTTTAATCCTACAGGACAGAGCACGCTCTGCTTTGGAAGTGTTGTGATGCTTCCTTTGTGACAGTTCTGTGTGGAGACAGCCTGCTTTTTTCCTAGGTGGAGCCCAGAGCCTGGACCTGGTAGAGGTTTAGCAAATACTGGATACATCAGTGTTCTAGCTTGTTTCTCCATTGCTGTGACAAAATACCCTGACCAATATACCAACTTGGGGAGGAAACAGTTTATTTGGCTTACATCTCCCAGGTCACAGTTCATCAGGGAGCCCAAGGTAGGAACTCAGGGCAAGAACCTGGAGGCAGGAGCATAGGCCATGGAGGAACACTGCCTACTGGCTTGCTCCCCTGGCCCCTGCTCAGCCTGCTTTCTTATGCAATACAGGCCCACCTGCCCAGGGGTGGCACCACCCACACAACAATCAAGAAGATGCTTCACAGACGTGGCCATAGGCCAGTCTTATGGTGGCAATTCCCCAGTTGAGGCGCCCTCAACCCAGGTGTGTCAAGTTGACACTAAAGCTATCCAGCACAATCAGTGAACTCAGGAACTTTGGCTGCTCAGCAGGTGTGGCTTATTGAAATCTAGACACTAACCTTGTACCTGCCTCCTCTTTTTTTTTCCTTAATCATAGGTCAAGATTTCTCAGAGTCTGAGGAACATTTAGACTATTTTTAAAATAGTAGGAATAGAAAGGATTAACTTTCCTAACAGAATCCTGAAGTTACACTTCTAGATTTAAAAATTTTATTTTATTTTTGTGTGTATGAGTATTTTGCCTGTATGTATGTAGGTATTCTACATGTGTGCTATGCCCAGGGAGGCCAGAAGAGGGCATTGGATCCCCTTGAATTGGAACTACACATGGTTGTTTGCTGCTCTTTTGGGTGTTGGAAACCAAACCCTAGTCCTCTGCAAGAGCAGCTCTTAACCCCTGAGCCATCTCTCCAGCTCCCCTAGATTTTTTAAATTAAGGACTAAAAAGATAATAGAAGACAGGCAATGTAATTTTGAGCATCTGAAATTGTAGTACTCTGTTACTCTTTTTTTTTAATGTGTATTTCCTGCATGTAGGTAAGTGCACCCGTGTTGTACAATGCCCTCGGAAGTCAGAAGAGGCTGTCAGATCCCCTGGGACTGGAGTTATGGACAGTTGATAGCTGCCATGTGGGTGCTGGGATTTGAACCTGGGTCTTCTGCAAGAACAACCAGTGTCTTAACCGCTGAGCCATCTCTCCAGCCACTGAGGGCCTTATTTCTAAAAAGGCTTGGCTGGAGCTTGAATAATTTTACTTTTGAATAGTTCCTAACCCTATAGACAAATTTACTTGCAGTATTGGCATTTAATATTTACCATTTATTCTTTACTTACTGTGTATTAGACATTTTTCTTGTCTCATTTAGTTATATAACTCCTCTGGTATTCTAATTAAAATTTTTATTATTGTATATGTGCATGATGTATGTGTGTGTGTGTATGCATGCTAATGCGTGTTTGTGGAAGTCAGGGGACAGCTTTGGGGAGGTGAGTCTCTCCTTTCACCAAGTGCGTTCTGAGATTCAAACTCAGGTTCCCAGGCTCGCATAGCAAGCACTTTTACCCACTGAGCTATCTGCTGACCCTTGGTATCCTAATTTTATGCATGGGGTAACTGAGGCCCAGAAATAAGAAGTAATTTCTACTGTGGTTATGGAGATGAAATTTAAATGTAGGTCCCTCTGATTGCCCAGTCAATCCTCCATAAGAATAGAGGTCAGCAACCTTTTTCTTAAAGGCCAGATAAGGAAATATTTTAGGCATTGTGAACTACATGGAAATTTTTGCAAATATTTAAGTAATTTGGGCTATAAAAGCA